GCTGAATAATTCAATGGGCTGCACCTGAAATCCAGGTAGTGACGGGGGGAAGCGGAGAATTAGAAAATATAGCATCGCGCTGATCCAGCTGAGTACCTCATCGGTGACGCATCAGCAGTGTACAAAGAGTGTTAAGAGGGCTTAATCCTCAAAAGATTAGATGGCAACATCTACGAAAATCCAAAGGAACTGTTGGATGACTTAATGAATGCAATCGCAATCGAAACATTGATTTCTGCTTTCATGTGAGTCTTGCACTCGTTCGCTGGAAGTTCTGCCTCGCCTGAGATATCCCAGAAATATGTTGCTTTAGATATCGCTCACTCTTGAACGATATTTCGCACACACCGCAATAAAAGTCGGAAGTTCTAGCATGCACTTTTGTTTGGTGCCTCATGGCATCGGACAAACTGAGAATGATTTGCTGCATGTTAAACACTTGTAGGGTTCTTCCTGGTATGACCGTTTGTTCGGATCTTCCGTTCTGGTTTTTGAGGGCACTTCGTACAAACTAGCTGCTTAAAATTGAACGAGGTGAATATTTCGATGCCAGTTTCACTAGACTGTCTTTTAGCGCAGCGCAGTGAAACTGTTATTGGAAGGGATCCTAGGAATGCTCAGTCGAGGCCTTCCGACGTAGGTGCACTTTCTCAACGTGGAAACTTAGGGTGCAATTCACGTCTTTTTCAACCCTGTTGGTAAATATGACGAGAGCGAATATCACAATTTGCGGAGTGGTGCATTCTAGCAACCACCTGATTACCACGAAACCGTTCGATGGCGATCACCTATTCCATGGTTTATTCGACTCACGAGACAACACGCATTGCCACCCGTTCTTTAAATCGAGAGGAGTTTGCCGTGGCCACATTTCCACTGGCAGCAAGATTCGCCACCTTTCAGCTGGAAAGTACAAGTCAGTTGATAAAAGCCCCACCACCGCCGGGGTATTTACACTCTGTTCATAGCAAATTGGAGTCTGTCAGCATGACTGTCGTTGTGTATGTAAAACGAAGAACTCGGGGGTGGGAATGCAGCTAGTATCCTCCGGGCCGGATGAAGTTGTTAGAGCTGATCTGTCCACTGATGTTACTCGTCAATTTCGGTCCCACATCATCTTTGTACCAGACTGAGGATTCTTTCCAGAGAGAAGCCATGTTTCTTTGTTCCTTCTCCTCAGCGACCACCTCTATTCCTCACTGGACATATGTAAGGCAAGGCGTTGGATCTGAAACTCTGTTGACGAAAATTAATTCGACCGAGACCGTGTCGCACACAAAAGACGCTAACACAGGGTGGGGCATGATAAATTGATTCATGAAAAGGTGGGCTTAATTGTGGCACATCATTTGAATTCAAAAAGCTTCAATTTTGTCGTTTGGATAACAGCTTGCGCAAGTGATTGAATAAGGAATACTCAAATAAGAATGGAATACCATGAAATTCATCAAGGTTCTTTAGACGTGGTTTCTAAGCTCGCTGGCCACCGATTTTATGACTGAGTGAGACGTGTTTGTCCGGCGCTCTTGGCAAGCGTTTTATTCACTGTGTCACACATAAAGCCATCTTGGCGTTCACGCTTCACACAGCTGCAGAAATGAATCACGTTTCACCACCTTCCCAGTGGCGCGTAGGATAACTGTAAAATGCAGTTCGAATAGAGCTTTGTTGCACCCAACGTTGAAATGATCGCGCTGCTCGTGAACAGCTCGTGGCCGAATGATGTTAAATCGCGAACGGTTTATACTTAAGCTATTATCAAAAGTTTGTAACTGAGTCCTGCAAGGTGGCAATTGAGTCACATTCAAGTCTGATTGCTACTTGTGGGTAGAGTTATCTAGTACCCCTATAGTTGGGAATGTGGACAAACCGGCACCAACTCAAGACTCATTCAACGAAATCCAGTATCTGATGTAAGGAGCGGGCTAAATCCACTTTTATTTCCAGCCACTTTCGAGAAGATTGTTAAATTGATCAACCTCATGGCTTCTGAGGAGCGGGATGGTGTATTTGGCATAATCATTTTGTAGAAATATATATTTAAACTTCAAATGAAGAGAGAATTTCATATCAATGACTCACAGAAAGGCGTATACTCCGAAAACAGGCTGCTCAGCTCGTAAACTGAGCAGAACGAATAGACAATGTTGAAACCTGTGGTCGCATGTGTGATACTGCAAATCATTGAGGATGTTTATTCCTTCCTGTAGAACTTTGATGGGGTCTAGGAGGCTGCCGGACTGGAAACCGACCTATCGCGGCGCTAAAGATCCTCCACAGGGGCCGGGCGGAGCCTACACCGGATGCGGCCAGAAGAGGTCGTTGGAGGATGAACTTGATCTCCGCGAAGGAGGTTTTTACAGCGGAGTTCAACACGCCAGCCGACCGCGCTGGTGACATGGTATGGAGCAATCAAGCTTGACGGTTATCCAAGCGCAACCGTGAGGCCGGTCTGCGGATAAATGAAGTCAAGATAGCTCGCGCGAGGGTCGCTGACACCCCTGGGTAATGAAATTGTCATGAAGAAGTTAGCCCACTGCCAGAGAAATTGGCAAAGATCATGGAATTTGCTGTTTCTAATTCAAAGTGGTCTCCACGGCAGTTTCTTGAACGAGCAGCATACTACAACCGGTTTGTTGAGGATTTCAGCACGATCGCTGCAACTATTCGACCTGCTCGGGCAAACTCGAAAATTTGAACGGGCCAGAAAAGCTTTTAAGCTTGTCAAGAGGGGACGTTGGAGGACCAGTAACTAACCACCAAACTAACGAGGGTCGGAGAGATGCTTACTGTTGCAACTGATTCTAGCGATCTCGTTATTGTCGCAGTCCTAAAGCAGAGGAATGGATTTAAGGAGAATCATCTAAGGAACACCATGCTTCGAGTTGAACGTCCGATTTCAAGTGAAAAACGACAGTGCTGGTGTTGTGAGTGCCGAATTAGCCCCGAAAGTTACTACCGTATGATCCATTTGCTGGTCGTCCAACAAGGAGTGGATTCGGGACCGAGACGCCAGGACTGAATACATTGGCTAGTAAGGTACACTTATTTCTGCACACTTCGTTTCCGTACACTACGAGGTCAACTCACTTGCTGAAGTGTGATGCAGCCCGTCTGGAATTGATCAAATACTGGCTCGAAACACATGAGCTCATCCTTTTTAAGCAAGTCCTTTACCTTTGGCTTATAATGGGTTCTCACATCTATGACGATGTCGCAAAACGTTTCCTTGACGATGTGGTCAAGCTGGTTGAAGGGAAAAGGATTATCGATAGACTATTATATTTTCTTTCGCACCTCTGAACAAACTAATCCGGATTTTTGGGTTGTTTAGGTGAACGGCCGCTAAAATATTGGACTGGTGACAATTACGTACACTGATGCATCCTCCCGTAACCAAATAAATTCCCAATAAGAAAAAGAAACTAAAAACCTGAATTGCACCGTGCAGTTTTCAACAGGCGGTTTCGTGTACCCCTCGGTTGTGGCCTCCATCAACCTTCATGGCCTCCATCAAGCTTCGAAACATTGAAATTCGCTCGCAATGGGCGTTATCTGTCTGCTGGAATCAAGGAAACAATTGGGCAACATTCAGTTACCAGGAACTCTGTTAATGCTAACTGGCAGAGTTGTCTTCCAGAGCTAATCGCTATTACGAAGAAAATACTTAACATCGTCTGATTGCCTGGGTATCTCAAATTACCGCTAAATTTTTTTATGCACATAATTTTGGGGTAAGTAGAACATCGTTAAATTTCTTCACGGATTTCGCTGAATATTTGAAATGGGGTCTCAACTCTCATGCGTAGGTTCATGCCATGAAGACATCCAACCAAACCCGTTGATGAAACAACGCCCGCATTGCAGAACTAGGTAGCACCTTGTGTTTAGCAGGTGATAATTCTTGTGCGCTGTTCAGCGTCAGTGTTTAACATCATGTTTTATCAGATGCATAACACGAAATACACACTGATCTGTTAGACTGATTAGTGCTCGCCATCTGCATGATTATTCCAGCTCATGATACACGCAGTCATCAGGCGCAAAACCTGGTTAGTCCATGTTTATCTCGTTCTCCTGGGTTTCTCTGGATTGACGGGTATCTATCTGTCGATTTGTGTGTCAAACCGTTTGTCTCTCTATCTGTCAAGCTGCTGTCTAAGCGTTTGTATGTATGCATGCACGCATGCATATATTCATATTCAGGTGTTTGTATGTATGATGTATATATATATATATATTTATATGTCTTTCTATGTCTATTTATGTTATTGTATCAGAGAAGCTTAGTATATGAATTAGAAGAACTGACTGGCCGTTAACTGTATGAAAATACAAGCGCTTTCTTACCGGAACGCATTTTCCAATGAAATGCTACATCCACGGTTGTGACAGTGCCATTCGTCCGCTTGAATGAGTTCACAGTTGCATAAATTGCGTTTTATCGCTGCAACCAGAGACGCTAATTCATGACTGGCTACTAAACCACATTTAAGTTTCCAGAAATTTCAACAAGTGATTGTCATCCATGTGAATCGCAGTAAGGATAAAGAACCCACTTCCCCTGTAGAAATCCGCAAGACATTTGCTAACGCTCAAGAATGCCTGGACGTCTCTCCGTTGTCCTCAAAGATGAGAATGGCTCAGAACTTCGAGGTCCTTCCTCGTAAACGAGATCCAGGAATCTTGTGAAACTATGGATGGCAAGTCTCCAACCACATGAAAGAGGTCCACGTCTTCGTGCTAGATTACGGACTAGTTCCTGGCATACCATCCGCGGTTTGGTTCATAATCAGCTAAGACAGTGTCCTATTCCATACAAAAAAGACATGGTTTGCCCCGCTACCGTAGTTCTACACCTTGCCACTCACGTTTTTGTGTTGAAATATCCCACTGAGCAATAAAAATTACTTCCAAAACTGTTCCTCAAGCGGCGTAGCAAAGATGCCTACCGAATCGTATTATCATGTACCATGTGGAGACCGATCAGCTTACTCAATTCCAAGATGGATGAATGTGGACGAAACAGTGAGTCCATCACTAGTGGTATCAGCTTACGCAATTCCAAGATGGATCAATGTGGACGAAACAGTGAATCCATCACTAGTGGGAAGACAATCGAGGTATGGAACGACACATACTACTGAAGAATCAGTGAGCAATTCTCTGTTCCAGGTCATCATACACATAAAACACTTGCTAAGGATTTGATGCTCCGCGGCAATCATCATCAACAGCATCATCATCGAGAGCAACAGCAGTGCTCCACTGGCATACAAGCATGCCAGTTCATTTTTAATGGAAAAAAAGAATAGTGTAACAGGAGGGAAAACCTAGGACTAGCCTACAGCGAACGCACGAGATATCTACATCTCCAACACGGTTGGACAATCCGTATATCACCTGGCAGAATAAACGTCACTGACACCGCTGAGTTTACCACAATTGGCAAAGCGTTGAGGATCACAAGGTTCGAGGAGGGAACCAGAATCAACGAGGCATAAAATATCGTTCTGCTTCACTGGCCAGTGCACTGGGGTTCGAACCTAACATCAGCATTTCGACTGTCCCTGTCTAGCCATTAGCAAATTAGCTGCCTCAGCCATCGTGCTCCCTTTAGGTTGAATAGCGGCTAGGAACTGGGTGTTCCAGCTGAATGTGTATTAATTTTTTTCTTTGATCAGTTGAAGGACAAATTGAGAATGCTCTTAGAATTATAGCTGAGCAACTTGTTAAATGTCTCATTGTCCCGGGATATGAGTGCCGCAACATTCCCCTTAGAGTTAGTCAGCTACACAGCTGACGGTATTGTAAACCTTCATCGAGAAGGACACGCAAGGACGAATCTTATGTTGAACAATATTTCATCGCGAAATCGGAATAATTAATGGCCGGTCTGAACGTTCTAATTTCAGATCCCTCCGGCTGCCATCGTCAAGGCAGTTTTCAACCTCAATTCCTATTTCAACATCCCATCCGCTGTGATAAACTGAATAGGTTAGGTTTGATTGAATAATCGAAGGACTACAGAAATGAAAAATCCACACGAATTAACTCAAGGGGTTCTCCTTAGGGTGAATGTAACTTTGATGTTAGGAATTGCAGAATAAGAATTGCATTGCGCTTTCGAATTTGAAATGTCGTGCTGGTAGTCAAGCCAGATGACAGAGACAATTTCAGCCCTAATGTTGTTAATTTTGGGAGGCTTCAAATGACGTAACAATAATCCATACGATGAATGGATTTTTCATTTTAGATGCTGTCACTCAATGAGTCAGTCACCGGTGATGTGGATCCCTTTCTTGAAGAATGACCCCCATGATATCCTGTCTTATGCGGACAAATAAAGTTGTCGGTTGACCGCCGGTAGCCAAACAATTGAATAATGCAACTACTTATCGCACCAGTGATGATTCCCAATATGGATGGAACACTTGTATATTCCTTCTCAGGTCTTAGCCGCAGACTGCCTTTGCATACACAAATGTGAAAGCTTCTTGATACTACCAAAGACACACTGTTTCGCTCGAGGTGGAATAATGCACCTTGTCATCTCAGAAGAATTTCGGCCGACGCGTACTTCGTAACGTTCTTCGTATCATCCACGCACCATGAGTGACCGTATGCCTCAAACTTTTTAAAACAAAACCAATGTGGCGGTATCATTTAAAGAAACTAGAGGAGACCCGGTAAGCTTGAATTTCTGGAGTTTCATCCGAACATCGTAGATTCTGACCAACTTTCCCGTTGATTCCCTTTACAAACAATTACCCATGGCAATCCACCAACATATGTTTATCTAACCGGTTTCACTCTATTCATAATTTAGCCTCCTTTTTAAAAGCTGTGTGCTATATCCAAAATGAACAAAACTTACTGATTATTCAGGGGAAGACACCACCGTTGTTGTGGTCATGTAACACTTTACCCGGAAACAGAATGCCAAAATAGGCTAATGGAAAATGGTTGTGTGCTTCCCGGATGTAATTAACCAGTAGGTCTAATAGAAAGATATAAAAGGCTCGTAAATTCCATTCGAAGTTGGTTCTCGATCTTGTATTTGAATACATTTTCACGGCGGTGTGCATGTTGTGCGACACATTCGATTAATTGTTAACCAATGATCTTTAACGCATTAATGATGTAGAGATACTACAATGTTCCGGGCGGACAAAAGTAAATTTTTGGGTAAATTTACAGCCATGGACCATCAGTAGTATATTTTCAAAGCACATCCTCACCCAGCGCTTTTAAATGCAATTCGATTGGACAATAAATGACAACAAATGACCATTACAATCTCCAAGCGGGAACCAATATTTCCTGTCTTTTGAAGGTTCCTTCTAATTATTCTAGCAAACGGCTGTATTAAAAATGTTAAGACCACTAGATTATCTGCTTGATACTTTTTCCAAATGATCACCCGTCTGATGCACTTAAACTGGATATCAGTTTGAATAATTTCATACTACTGACAAATGAAACGTAGTAAAAAATTGCAATTCATCAACAAGGATATACCAATTTGATCTGCTATCAACTGTGCTGATTGCACCACATTTCTATGGCGCTTAAAGTCATGAAAACGCATGAAAAACAACTTACGGTTTCCTGCAACGGGATTTCATCCATATGGTCGATGCCAGCCACGTAGCTCCCAAACCCTTGAACTGCGGCTCCATGAACCAGAGATCCTATAATGATTCGGGGGTAGTACAAAACGTAGAACATTGCCAAGTTGATGCAAAGAGGTGATTCTTTAGGAAACTTTACAGGCAAACATAACTCGTAGTAGATTTTATGAGCATAACCTCACCAAGTGCCCTAGAATGTAATTGGATTGTGTAATAAACGACTTACGGTTGTTACAGCCTGCTAGCAAGAACCAACTGTTCGTATCTTTTGAGGGATATACCACAACAGTTTTATTTTTATTTAGTTGTGCTTATAGAGTCAACATTCTATGGTGTTTGCGTTGTGAAAATGTAAGAAGGAAATATTGTGGCACATCTAAACCAACGCACGAAACCCCAAAATTACCTGTAACGCGACTTTATGCATACGTGTGCTGACGCACGCCAGGTGGCTCCCAGATTAACGAATAATGGCCCTCAGCGCCGGAAGTGAAGTTGTCGACAAATGTTCTGAGCACTATGCACTTCAGTGATTGAACCTTGTGAACGATTATCGCAACTGCCAAAATTAGGCCAAATTAACAGCCATTTTGTTGATCGACATGCGGTCAGTCAGGTTACGCATTTGGCTGTGTAATCCACGGTCGTTGGATTGTGTTTTGAGACTTAAAAGAATACGACCAGGGTATAATGATACGATTAGATTAACACCGTAAAACTGATCAATAAATGGGACATAACGTAGCGCAATATGGAATTACAGCTTTAGCCAGAGGCCGTGAATCGCCGTGAATCGCGTGCTGGTCACCTGGCATCTCCTGGTGTGCCCGATATTCTTTGGTACATATCGGTCAGGATTTGAATTTTTCAGGGATTTCCTGGTGCGCAATCGTACCCTAGTCCCAAAAATCAGCAAGTGACAGTCCATCCATGACATCTTCAAAGGAACCGCATTCAATATCACCTCCCTTCCACGCGCCTTATTGCGTCGTTGACGATGTTTCAGGCTTGACGTTCCGTCCCGCTCCAGAGCCCTACTGTCGGAAGATAACTCAGAACAAGAGACAGAATGGCCTTTTGAGATCAAGCAAGTGCAAACTTCACAGGCAGAAACGCGATAATTAAACCGCGATTTTGGCCCTGAATTCAGGCTTTCGGATAGGCGTTGGGTGGCCGCTCATCATTGACTGCTTTGAAGAACTAATTGATTGCTTCAGCGTTCAACAAGCAACTGGCTTTTCTGACTTTTCTGATGTTCCCTTTGTTACGCTTATGGTGTGGTTTGACGGTTCTAGTAGGTTTCGAGCATTCTGGAATATTTATCAGGAAGCTGATTTTTCTTACACCAGATTACTTGCTTAATACTTCTTCCTTGACCATGCATCGTGTGGTACCGCCCAACGACTGAAGTCACATTTTCTAAAGGACTTTGAAGCCGACAAACATTGGTGACAAGATATTACGAGTGACTTGAAATGTTTGGCAAATGGAAAAAGCTTCGGATCAATCATTATATCTTGTTGATCCCGAGGTGTCTGAAGTGAAGTTGTTGCAAAACAAGCATTTGCAGCTGCACTGGTACGACCAGCCGTTCTGCAAACAAAAGGAAATAATCAAAAACGCAAAGTGCCGGTTGGCTATGATCTAAACTACACAAACGGTTTTGTCTGCAATATATTGCGGCCATTTGAAGAAATGATAACGCTTATTTGGTCCACGGAAACAGAAAGAATCCGGAAACCATGGTACGGGGCGAATTCTGTGATTTAGCCAATAGCTTATTACTCGGCCCCGTCTAACCCGTCGTGTAACTTGTTTGGGCGGTTCTTTCAACAATCTGGGAAAAGAACTTCGGATCCGAAAAAAAGTCCGCTGAAATCGCTAGGTCCGGTGAAGCAGCAGACGAGTGATAGCATCACGTACTAAATACCAAGGCGCACGTAATCTTTGGTACTCGAAACATTACCCTCCTAAGAGATTGGGTAATCCGAGTGGACCAGGTGTGCCTACGAACAGCGCGATTAACTAAATCTATGCCCACCGGGCCCTCGGAATCCCACATACAGATGCAATATGCGTGACACGGCGAACGAAGCATCCCAGAAAACCAACGCCCATGCACCTCTAGCATTTCAAATGAAGCGTTCAGCTTTGACATTCTCCGGGCGAATGGCCGCAATTTCACACGAACGAAATGTGATTTCCCTGGCCGAGACAGAGGAGTTGAGATTTGGAGGTTTGCTTCGGACCATGCACCTTCCGACCGGTGAATTCGTTCTGTAGCAACTGAGCCAGCCCGAGCACTTCTGAGTACTATCCAACGTGGTCGCTGGTTTGTTTGCTGAAATGAGAAATTTGGCTGGAAACATTCAATCAAGAGGGAAGGTGACATTGTCACTGCGTTTTGATTGGAAGTGCGGTTGAGTTGGCAGTCCGTGGTATTGCTTGTGCATGGACTACTTTGGGGTAAACCAACTCAGATAAACGTTAATCGACGATTTAGCTTTCGGATGAGAAATTTTCATATTATTAATTGACCTGTCTGCTCAATGGTGGATATGTAGGAGCGAAGATTTTAGCGGTGCTATTTAGGCTGGCAGTATGAATGGATCGATTTTCCCGCGACAAAGCACATCACTCCCCAGAGTTATCCTTCACGAACAAGTGAAACAAATCTCCTGGCGTTTTGCTGTTTCACCAGTTTCCTTGTATAATTTCGTGTATAATTGCACTATCCGGTCATAGCCATTTAAAGCCCTGTCCATGAACCTGATGGAAGTTTAATTTGGAAGTTATCAAACGGTTTTACGTTGGTTGTTTATGGACGTTAACCAGGTTAACCAAATCCACCCAGAAGCTCAGGAGGACGGCTGAACTTGTGCTGGCTTTTTCAAATGAAGCAAAAGAAGATTTTGCTACTGCAGCTTATAACCGCTTTTTTCGTGTTTCTCAATGGGCAATCACGTAACCACAGACCCCCATCGTCGCACCAGTAGCACAAACAGTCTCCACAAGATTTTCACGACTCTTACTCAAACCGACAAGTTCAATTGTGCGGAAGTGGGAGCAAGGCAGACGATGGACGTGCACCGAGTTGTCTGGGCATTTTTCAGTCATACTTCATCTGAAACGACAATTAGCACAATAATTCATGCATTACGTTGGACATCGTCGTACGATGGACAAACGGTGCCTGGTACGAGCATAGAAAAGGAACAGCATAGCGCTCGGGCTCAGCAGTGTACCAATTGACTGGACAGCAGAAACGAGACAAGGAAGACCAGGATGACCGTCGCGGAAAAAAGTAAGTGCTTGTCCCTCTGGAGTTGGTTGCCACCATATTCGCTGCTCTGACTTGAAGAGGGATATCCGTTGATACATATCTCATTGTACGTATTGCGGACTAACGTAGACAGGAATTTTGCTTTGGAAGCGTTATCACTGTGACCTCCATCCTTTGGGAGTAAATTATACGCGCCACTGGATACCGGGCCGTAACTTACTAACAAGCGTTTTCTGCTATTCTGCGTACATGTCCGAGTATACTAAAGAGTAAAACATTGAGAGTCTCCGAAAGCAATGGGCCAGAATTTCATCACTCCTGTCAAGTTTATGATGACCAATGGGCAAGTGAAATTATGTTTGAAATATTGATGTAGCGCGAGTTTATTCTGGATGAAAAACACTACTCAAAAGTTTGCTGCTATCTATTCGGCAGCCCACAGGCTGTTTCGCCATTCTTCAGTCTCAGTCCGAGTTTCCATTTACCTCACATCCTGTTCTAACCAAATTTGGCCAGATTCTGATTACTGCGCACATTTGCACATGAATTTGGTTTTGACCAGGAAGTCAGATGAACCCAACTTAATCGCCTGTTTGCGATGGTCTGCCGCAACTGAGTGCGCTAACGAAGCCGCCTCATATGTCGATCAGTACGATATTCGAGATATCAAAATGCATTTTTGTTTATTCATAAAGTTGCTGAAAACTCTTGGATAGCTCACGACAGTATCCACCCCTTTCCACTTGCATTAGATATGCACACTTCCCGAATTCCTGTCAACTTTATGTTCAAAACCATCCGTTGAAGCGTACCATACTAAGGAGAGGTTCATTTTGGGTTTCCTGTCAAAATCGACTTTGTGTGCAGATGAGAATAATTGTTGACTAGTTTACTCAGGGATATATATATATATACATATATATAGAGCGATTCACAGATAGCATGTAGTATAAAATTTCAGAGACGTGAAGCTTCAAGTAATCCTGCATATTCTGTGGTTGTTCGCTTCTTATTGCGTTCTTGTTCTGCACCGACCATGCTACATGCTTGGAAGCCGCCGGTGTCCACAATTTGTCATCGATATTTAAGAACAAGCTGTTGAAGGAATGGGTTGTCTTTGCTGCTGGTTTCAAAATGTGGATAATCTATCGACATCAAATGAGATTCTGTTGGTTTTCGTTGGGTTGAGACCCAAAAGTTTCTCTAAAGCGCAAACGAAAGGGCATTGAAGTGGAAATTTGCATTATTGGTCCCCAAACATTTGTGTCACACCTAATTATCTCCATGGCTGTGGTGCTTTACAGAAAAAGATGGTGGATAAAATCCACAAAGCGTGGACGCACATTTCGTGACCTGTGTTTGTATTTACTCCACAACGAGTGGACGCACATTTCGTGACCTGTGTTTGTATTTACTAGTCGTGCTACGATTTACCGCTTAAGTTGGGGTGGATTCAGCGGATTTATTAAACTCAGATGTCACTGATTCACCGTAGTCGCACATAAGTCTCGTCACTTTTAGTTATTCTAGGTAAAATCATTGCCTGCGGGTAGAAGGAAATACCTTGCATAAAAAAGTCCAGGAATTCATTGATATTCAAGGGTTTTCAACGTGGAAAATTAGGCGTTGTCGGAATACTGTCCAATTGTCCAGAGATTCCTTCGACAAATTAAGCTGACCTGGCAAATTTTCGATGCGATTTTTCTAACGTCGACCGCTACAGGCACTTTTCTTCTGGTTTTGTGGTGTGCGCATTGTTGATGACTCCCAATTCGATTAAACTGTTGTACAGACCTTCCCCGTCTTTCAGCGGAGATGAGCTTTACTGACAGGGGAAACTCTCTAACGAATATGATCAATTCTCATCACACCACCAGGAGTTAGTAATTCCAAAGTCACCTGGGGAGCCAGTGAACACGTGATTACGTCATGTGGTTTTCCGGCATTGAAGGATCAGTGTCGCCATGTCCTGTTTTAGTGAGAGCTTGTCATATTGCCGAAGAGCCGGTCGAGGCCAAACGGCCAAGTGATGAAACTACTACCCCGACCGTCACGGGCTCGGTTGAAAACTACATGGAATTTCGTGAGATGCGCACAGTTGATAAATTCCAGCAATGATGTAGCAGATTCACGGTGCTTCTCTGCTTATGGGCACAAACTCCCTTTTACTTCCCAGAAGAGCTCTCCAAACTATTGCAAACTATTGCGCAGGAAATTAACCATCCCATTTTTAGAAACGGAACATTCTCAAGAGTCTTGTTTAACTTTCGTGGCTCTTCCTCCACTATCACGCAATCAGTTTGAGCGAAAATACTGACAGTGGGCGGACAGGAACACCTTTCGAGGTTCTTTCAGGTGTTGGTTTCACGTGTGTGTTGAGCCGTATGTCTCTTGGATAAAGTTGTGTTGCAGAAACTTATGGTGTTTCGTGCATCACTGCAAATATCACGGTGTTTTTTTCATTTCGTTCATGTCTTTTCACTAGGTAAACGCCATAGAATCCTAATGCAGTCAGTACAGTAGATACCAGATATAATTGGCACCATAATGTTATATCCTCGCCGGTGAAAGGTATTTGTTAACTAATTCCCATTTGACGATAGTCTGAAATTGGTAACGTACAGCAAAGCGGTATCGGTGGGGAATTCTGCCAGTACCTTAGTTGATGTCAGCCCCATGCCCAACGTTTACATCAAATTTTCACGCAACTCTCGTTTGCAAACTAAGTTGAAGTTAACGGGCGTCCCAAACGGATTCCAGCTTAACCTCTCATCTTCGGTTTCTTTCACCTGAATATGCCGTAAAAAGCAGTCTCGTTCATTGTTAGAAAATGAAGCTGAAAATCGAAGGTTGTGCTTGTCTGATGGAGCCTGAATAGGGCGAAATAGGTTGTGGGTTGTCGAAGAGATTTCATTAACCATACGACTAGTTTTTTTACGAGAATACCAAACCATAACGCCCGTTGATAACGACCGCTGCCGTTGTAACTGTTGCACAGATAGCGCATTTTAAATAGTGCAGGTCCGTTGTAACTGTTGCACTCGCCCACATTCGCTTGTTTGGAATAAAGCTGTTGTGTACCACTGTCATAAATTATTTTTGGCACCAGTCACTGGACTGGGAAC